TTAAAATGAATTTTTTTTTTTTTTTTTTTTTTGGGGGGGGCCGGGGGGGGGGGTGCGGTTTCGTCCCAATTAATCGAGCAATTAATTGGACCTTAAAGCGAAAAAGATTCATATACCCGAGCCAAATTTATTGAGAACAAGGATTTGTTTATAACTGTAGTCTTTTAACTTTTATTGTAAAAAATGATTGAAAAAAGATGTGGGTTTTGATTTGTACTTTTGATGAGTTTGGATTATCAGATTTTGCGTGCTCTACAACCTTTTTCAGATTAGGATGTATCATATTGTGAATTCATTGCATTCTTATGCATAAAACTGGGAAATAGCCAGAAAGTTGTTTTACTGGGAGTAATTGACAGAAAGATTGATAATGGAAAAAGTAGGAACTCTGACCGTTTAAATTTTATTCAATAACTTTTCGACGAAAACCCCCTTTCAATTTTTGGGTCTAGCTGCAAGGTCGAATATTTATGTCACATCTGTAATTTTAGGGCATGTTTAATGTAGATTTTTGAGAATAGATTTTGTTAAAAGTGATACTTTGGAGGACGTGTTTTTAAAAAGTATGGAAAAGTCATGGATCCATATACAAAATTATTTTGCTGGCAGAATGTGTTATTAAAAATAAGTTTGACAAAATAAATAAGTTTTAAATAATTAGTACCAAACATGAGCTTAATAAATGTGTTTTTGTGGAGCTACAGAAAAGGCTGAAAAAATTAGGGTGATCTTGTTTTTGTGACCATTCATGAGTTTATTAATAAGGGCTAACATTTTGTTCTTCTGTATAATTATCTTTTTTACATTAATCCGCTATGTATTTTCAGTAGGAGCACTCGAAAAACCAAGGCATTGAGTTTGATTGTGGCTCTGGCTCACGACACAGGTGCAACCCCTGGCACTACAAGGCAGACTGGTCCTACTGCAGCTGGACAATGCGAGTCGGACGCCCTTCACAGTGATGTCCCTTCTGAATCTGAGATCGATGAATTTTTTGACAGCGTAGAGCAGTTACAGCAATGCAGTTTTATTGAGAAGTATGGCGCATATCTTTTTAATGCTTAATTCTTCCTTCACAGTGATAACCATTTTTTATGTTTGTGTTGTCTTCAGGTATAACTTCGACTTCGTGAAGGAATTGCCCCTCCCGGGACGTTACGAGTGGGTGAAATTGAATCCTGGAGCAGAATGATATTGTTGACAGTAAACTTCATGGTTGTAATTTGCAAGAAGACATTAGTTAGGTACAAAGTCTTTTCTTTATTTCATTTAACTATGTGGTGAAAAATAATAAGAGATAATTAGTTGAGCCTCGTTTAGTTTTGTGTTGAGAAATATGAGATGATTCTCTGCAGCTTTGAATGAAATTTGTACATTTACAATTATAATGTGTCTGGCTCTGTAAACTTGTGGTGTAAAGGTGCTGCTGAGAGTGATCCAAGGGGGCATTTATTGTGACATTGCACGGCCTGCCAGTACTTTTATCTCATGCTCTGACCAAACCTAAAACACAAGTTTATAAAGACTTTCCTTTTGATACGTAGTTTGATTTTCAAAGGGAAAGAGACATAATGATGGATGGTAAAATCACCTTGAAAACCATAGTGACCATTGAGATTTTTAACATTTTGAGGTTTCAAAACAGATGCACCAGTTTGAATTGGATGGCCAATAATAGGCCTGGTTCAACGGGCCTGAAATGTCCCATATTACTCAAGGGCTCACCAAGCTTATCGGCCATCGGGCGGGAATTTCCGGCCGGGACAGCCCACTTATAATGGTAGCCCGATGCAGTTTCAGCTGGCTGGGTTGACCTAGTCCTTGGCTGCTCAGTCCATTTTGACACCTCTAACTGTGTGTCTATATCTTTGTCCCTCTGTTGCAAATTCCAAAAGTTTAGTGACAAGTTCATCGCTCAAACCAACTTTTCTGCTGGTAATGCCTTGTGTTGAAAATTGGTTTAATATAAGTTAACTTGAATAATTATTTGAGAGGAATTTGATAGTCAGTTATAATTCTATTCTGCGAGTGAAGAAATGGTTGAAATTTCATTTGGATAAATGAGAAATTAAAGTTTCAAGCGAAGCGTTAATCTATGAAAATGGTCAAGGTGTTTAAAGGACTCAAACTTCAGAACTGTAGTTGACATTACAGTCACCACAGAGTTATTTAGAAACCCCATAATGAACATTATTGCCCGAGCAATCTCAAGCATGTGAAGATTTTTTTCTCGGCTCTCATTTCATTGATCTGTATTCAGTCATGACAGAGAAACTATTTAGACACTCTATTGGCCTTAGAAAATCCCGCCGCATCACTGTAAAATATAAATTAAATGGAATGATTTTTATAATAAAAAAGAGAGAATTTAATATCTCTATTGAAAATACTAAATTCCAGATTATAAAATGAAAAATGCATATTTATTCAGTCTGTTTGGTAGTGATTTTTTCCCCCGAAAAAATTGATTTTCTAATCGTTATTTTACCATTTCAACCGTCATATTTGACTTCTTCTCTCACTGGTGAACCCCACTTTTTTCCTAACGATCAAAAAATCAATTTTCAAAATCACGCCCAAACAAAAAGATTATAGCTTGTAAAAGAAATCTCTCTTTTATAACGAATCTAAAGTTCAACCGAATAGTTCTCAAAATTAACGATTTTAATTGGCACATGATTGTCTAAACTATTACATAGCAAACATTCATTTATATGTCCACACGTGTTTATCAATGCAACAAAGCAACCTATCAAATGCAATCAATCGGACTTACCATTTGATGTCATTCTGTTGGCCACTTAGACTGGTGACAAGCATATGCATAACATTATTTTTGCCTATTTGTACCAAGTACTAAAGATAGCAATGGTACTTATGACTCAAATTACACAGAAACTTCATGAGTAATATCATTCATCACAAGTGATGCTAAACACCGACCTAAGTGACATTATGCAGAACAATTCATCGTCCAATGAAATTGTAATTTATTTTAATAAATTGAAATCACGAAGTTCATTGCTATCTAGATTGATAATGAGAACCACTAGTAATAAATAGCATTATTAAAGTTCATCGGTCTTTCCATTCTATCATATATTTTCTCAACTAAGCAGAATTGTAA